AGATTAGAACTACTAACGAGTTCAGTGGACAAATTAATTATTCTGTCCTCTCATCAAATTCCCCGGGAAGAAAAAACTCCACAGAGGAAAAGGCTTCGGAGATACAGAATATTATTTTCGCCACAATCTCCCATACAGAAGCCAAAGAGATAAGTTCTCCGTTGCTCTGGATTGATTAATTACTTCCCAGTAATGTCCGACAGTGGAAATTCTCCGCGCCATCAACTCAGACTTGGTAGCCGACTCTTACTTTGGAGAGTTTATCTTATAAGTGGAGCTAATGCACTTATGTCAACCAGTTCTAACTCAGTAGTCAATAGACTGGCATCAGATACGCATATGCTGTAAGTGACTTGAGCGTTTCAAAGCTCGAAAACCCCTCGAATGTACACTTCTACAGACTAGAAAAAGAAGTCCTCCATAAGTCGAAATTTTGTCAGTTCTATAGGTTTATCACTTTCATTTTTGAGGTGACCTTTTCGCCAACGTGCTCAGTTTTTCTTGTGGCTCAGATGACGGTGGCTGAGCAACATTACGCGGTCTACCAAATTGTGCCAGTATGTGTGAATCATGGACCTGAAAGAATAACGTAGCATCTACTTCGTAACAATTTGAGGAGATCTTGCCATCATACAATAACGCAGCATTGACGTCCACTCAAATATTTGCGAAGCGCTCACAAATCGGTGGCGACCTCAACGAACAGGCTGGCCACAAAAGACCAAAGCGTTTTGAGTCATCTAAAATTACGCCTGTTCATTTAATTCTTCAGACGGTGTGCCCCAACGGCCCATCTACTCTCCTCCGACTGATATTCTTTCAAAGGTCTACGGTACACCCTCACTCTGGAAAGCAGCTTCAGGAGATTTCAAATTCAAGCTCCCCGGAGTACGTTCCATCTTTGGAAAGTTGGCTTTTAGGAGGAACATCCGTACGGGAACTGTATAGCGAGTGTTTCTCATGTGCTTCATGACTATATGCTATATTTGTTCGCTCTACCTGGAATTACCGGCCTAGATCAGCAGTCTACATATTTTTGACTGAAACGAATAGATACAATGTGGTGGATTTGCATATAGCTCAGCAGTTATATCACTCTGGACGATCACTTTTTGTGCGACTTAGCTAGACTGTAGTAAGAACTATAAAATGAACCATTAAGTACGAAAATCCAAGCTGATACAGAGCAGAAAAAACGGGGCTTACTGGCTTCTCCATGGATATCCACCTAAGATACTTTGCTTCTGTCATGCGTCCTAAACTTATCACCCTTGAATCAGTGTGACAACCATGACGTGCCTCAAAAAGTGTTTTAATTAATGGTGTGGTGATGTGAAGGGACTTGATCATTTTCAGTTGACGTTTCGTCCTTTAAGCAAAGCCAGTTTGGTCTGAAAAGCGGCGGAGCACTGTAAAGCTGTTTCATCCTTATAGGGAATCAGCAGCGGCGTGCACTCCACGGAAAGTAGTGAGTATCGAACCTGTGACCCCCCTGCCAGTGGTTGAACATCTAACCGTTCCGTAAAGATAGGCGGAAAAGCAGTGTGATTAGTTGTTAGACGGGATATAGCACCACTGTGTGGCTATTCTGGCTCATTTCACGTCCCACACATGTTACTTCTTATCAGAAAGAACCTGCAGTTATAACGCTTAAGTGCGTCATCGCCGCAAAAAAACACCGAAAGCTTAACGCGTCAGTCAGCCAATAGGTTTAATTAATGAAATGTAACCTTTTCACTAGGGCATCCCTATCTGGTGAGCAGACAAGAACTTTCGGGAAGTACAAAGTGCATTTTCTTCTGTTTTTGGAAGTGGGGTTGATTCTTCGGAACTGCTACGTCAAATAGTTATCCACCGCTAGAATTTTCTCATTGATGGAGAGTTTTTCTACAGAAACGAAATTTAGTGCTACTATCCTATGCCTGAGTTTTGATCCAGCATATGATGTACTAGCCATACACTTTGCTGTGTTGCTCTCATGTGCCTATCAGTCAACTGAGTATAGCACATAATTTTATATTCCTCACCAGAAAAACTTCCGCCAATTTTTATTATTTCCCTGTCACCCCTTACCAGATGAAATGAGCAACTATGCTATGAATAGCTTTTGTTTTCTAGCGAAATACACTCATTTGCAAACCAATTTGGTTTTGCGGGAAACTCACCTGGAACCAAGCTCAATCTCTCAACATATGATGTTTCCGGGCAATTCAGTGTGCTGCACCAGGCCGCCTCACGTTTCACTTGGTACAATATCCGAGATATCGTGATACGTGCACAAACGTAATGTGCTACTCATTAGGTTGCTGAAAATTCTTTTTAGCTTTCCTCCCACAGTCATGCAGTTACTCACCCCGTACAGGCCTATCTTTGTTCTCGATCGAGATAAGTAGGCGCTGAATTACAATTGCGAAGTGAATGGAAACCACAAATCATGTTTGATTTTCAAACTGATCAGTGTCAATTTTGTATCAGTCAACAAGTAGGTTGCATTCGTTATAAGAATATGAATCTCTGCGTAATAGTTTTATTAGCATTTCACCACCTAGAATATATTATTCAGAATATGTCGACGTAGTAGATCCCAAACTCGGACCCAAAAGAATGTTCAACACACTGATGGGTTTGTATTGAGGTATTTCATCGTTCTAAACATTATAATGCCAGGAAAGATAAAAATATAACACGCTATGTTGCACATCTCTACTACTGATCGGAGATACACTTCCATGCCGTCTATCTTAGTCTGACTGTTCAGTAAAATCTAGAGACTATCGCGATTCCAGGCCTGTCGCCGAATTTCGCTCATTCACACTCACTGACATACCTGCTTCTCTGGGCCATATTAATCGGCAGATCTGAACACAGTAAGCTGCATTGATCTGAGTTGTGTGCATGAGCTACTCTTGTCACATTCCATCCTAACTGAGTCAAGCACAGCGACAACCAGAATCGAACTCTAGTGGATTGGCTGTAAGAGAAACTCCTGGTTCGCAAAAAAACTGGGTATTTCAGATACTCCTAAATGGTGTACGCGAACAAATTGATATCTACATCTCAGGATTTTACCATTCTTGTTTAATCCTATCTTGCTACATCATGATATCTCGTCCCGAATTCCACGACTAACAAGTGAGGCGTGTAAGAAAACAACGTTCCTCATTCGTCTACGGTTATTTTCTTCCGCACAAAAACGGTACATATCGATTTTGCGGGAGAATCGCCTGCAGAGACATTTCAGTGACATTTTGCAGAGGTAAGTGTGTGGGACTAATGAGGAGGTGACTGGGTCTAATCATCAATGTGGATAACGTGTTGTGTTTTCTTGAGTTAATCGTTGGCTGCCACCGCACTCAACAGTGCAGCGCATAAACGGTTACTGCGTTCATTGAGTAGCTGGCTGTAGTTTGGCTTCACCCCTCAGTTATTCCTAAATATATTCGTATTTGCTACATATGAATTGGGCAGGGTATGCCTCGCAATAGCACAGCCTCGTATGGCTCCGGGGGTGTCGTGAGCTTAGGGGACTATGATCGGAATGGCATGTGTACTCTCCGACTTCACCTCTCCACTCTATCTTTTGCCGTTAATAATAGACTCACTCGGAGGTTGTTAGGCTAGAAAACACCTGGGCAATGCTTCGGTAGACTGGTCTAGGCCGTTTAGTGAGGATGAGGCCTGAATTACAGGACTTAAACTTCTGACATCTCACCCTGTTAACAGTGAACAACCGGGAAGTATTATAGAGCTGCTCCACTCGTGTTAAGAACTATAGGCAGTGTGGTTCCTAGTTTCATTGTAACCCTTTCAAAAGTCATTCCAGCTGCATGCAGAGTGTTTTTGCTTAAGACTGATTCGTCGCCTGGAAAAATTAGGCTTGATGGAAAGTTTCAGTTCCGTGAGTAGATATATTTGAAGTTCAGCTTTCGTGGGATACAGTGATGAGCTGGGAGCCGGTCGCAGCATTCGGATTTTCTAACACAGGCGAATTTAAAGCACCTACTTGAGAAGCTCCAGGAAGGGCTGAACCGGCCGTCAGCTGATGACGAGTTTTCAGCAAACTTGTGAGTAGTCTCCTTCATGAAAATATACTGTGATATCTCGAATATGTTACGACTTCAAACACGAGGCAGACTTTCTACAGGAAATTTAGTTGAAGACCATCATAAAGGAGATTTACTTGATTACTACAATAAAACCAAACTTATATCCGAATGATTTTAGTTCGCAATTTTCAAGCGTACTAATTTGTAGGCAGCTTAGTGGAAGCACGAAACTTTCAGTCAAACTGTGTTTCAAAACTGACTCTGAGAGCACCCTAGTCCTTCCAGTGGACTAACATTTGAGCACTTCCTTGGCGTCATCGTTTATAGGATGCTGAGCAATGCATTAATTGTAGGTGGTTTTCAAATTGAAAACATTTTTGCTGTCATAATTGACGTCCTCCTAAGCTGCCGGATTTCGATTAGTAATGTGTGGTCAAACACCAGGAACGCTCCTTCTTAGAAAGGTCACCATTCCTGACAGAAAATCGAGGAAGACCGATCATCTGATGAGTACCGGTTAAAAACGAATTTTTTTCTAGAACGATACCACCTCGGCTTGAGTAAAACAAAACGACCCCATTGGTTACGCATTTTTTTTCTGAAACTGTATCGAAACAGAGACAATTCCCTTGCGGTTCAATTTTTCCGTTTGCTAAGATAGAGCATCTCATTTCCTATCACGCACTGACTAGATGTTTGTTTTTTCTATCATATTTTAGTTTCTGGCGAAGTAAATGACCATGTTGAAAGGCTCATTTTTCATGTATCTCGAAGCCTCAAGCCTATTGTTTGTGCTGACTTGCGGCGATACGTCAGTAAACCCATCTCCAGAACATTCAACCCTTAATCACCGCACACCCACTGAAACAATCGGTTTGACGGATCAACCTGCAAACCTGTTCTGGTTTGCGCAAGTATGATTTTTTGGTCAGCTTGTTTGATTCCTTTACACAGATTACCGACTTACATCTGTATAACGCAAATCTATTCAGATCATTTGAAGTTTTCTGCTCTCAAACGGTCCCTATCATTCGTCCGGAACTCCTTGTCATTTCAGGTAAAGTATTCCGACAAAATCAGCTGTATTCAACAGGTGATCTGGTGGATGCTTCTCCAATCTATTTTATATCCCGCCAGAATGTATTCGAATGGCAGGCATATCACAGGATACTACACGAATCGGGTGTTTTGAATATTACCAAAGTGTTTGATCTCCGCGGAAATCATGGTAGTTCAGCTTTGTGGGCTTCATCTTTTTGTTTGTTCCTTTTCAGATATGATGGATGTATTAGCAGCAAACCATTCTAGTGACTACTTCAGGTACACTGGGCTACAGCTCCTATCGATTAATACCTTTTTTATGTTGAATGCGGTTCACACGAAAAAGTCGGAAGTTCTGGTTCCTGTCTCTGATCAAACATATACTGAACACTCTGTGCATTCCCACGTCTAAACTAAACACCAACATTAACCAAGAGGCTGTAAAAGGACGGTCTTCTATTCATGAACCTTAAAGAAGGAACACTCAACTGCTAAACGCAAACTCCATTTGAGGAACTCAGAATTTCTTAATATATGCTGTTTTAAGTTAACTTTCGTTCAGCTTGCCCTTCAGGATTAATCCAAAACTATCCCACACTTGTTTTAAACCTTTTGAGACTCGCCTGTGAAACATATTTTTCAAGTCAAGGCTAGAAGTCTATGCAGCTAAAACTCGACGCCTCAAGTACGAGCTCCGAGCAGCTGGTCAAGAGAGCGTTAGCGTCAGCTGAATTCTACACAACATAATTCCACTGTGCAACATTATTGTGAGTGACGTTCCAAGTAAATACTTCACACCAGAATGTACTCATCAGCCATGAAAGAATTTTCCATGACCCGTGATTGTCTATACCGTTTTTGGATAATTATTTTATATTGTTCAAGCAGGTCCAGTTAGCACGAATGAGCTAAATTAACTAGAGACATGATTCAACTCGGGGATATCTAAATACATTCAGTTTGTGTATGATTTGACTAGCTGTTTCGCATCGTTTGAGGTTTTTAGGTATTATGTCTGAAACTCGGTCAACAGGCCCAGCACAAGTTAATACTAATATCTGGTTTGCGATAAAATAAACGCACTTTTATGGTAGCTCAGTATTAGACCAACATTGCTGATGATCTTGATGGCATAACCTGATTGGAGTGGCGCTAAATTTGCAGAACTCTAAGCTTTGTCCATCGCACAATGCAATGAGTAGGTCGATGTGTAGACAAATAACCCCAACAAAACGGCGCTGGGGCAGACAAGGCAGCCAGAACTGTGTTACGGCTAACGGTGTTTCTGTATTAGAGCAGCTGATTGTTTGTTTCGACTTCAGAAAATTACATTTCCCTACCTCCGGAATAACATCACTGAGTGTAAATTTGCAATAAGGGAGAGGTCACAATATCACAACTTGCCCGAGGACTATTTTTGGCTTTCAGTCTGTTTAGAATGACTCATAGATACCTTTATTCTAAATCAGTGCTAAAAGTGCGGATTACCAAGAGGAATTCTGAGGAATTCCTCGGTGCCCATCCAAAAAAATATATTTTTCTATACCGGTACTACATCAGCTTTTGTACTAACCTTGTTCTATTGCTGCTACTTTCACCAGCCAGTTTGGCATCCAAGGTCGTATTCATCCACGGTCGTACCGTTTCAACCTAACAAAGCCGTTTGGGCGCTACTCCTTTATCTTCCTGGATGCTTCTCCACCGGTGGGAGTAAAAGTTCCCCTAAATTATTTTGGACAACTAACACGTGTGAGTTGACTGGATGTCACAAAGCGAGCAGAAAAGTCCTTTTTCTTTGCTATACTCATGTGTACGATAAAGTCCGTGTGTTTTTTATCTCCATCCACGCTGATAGTTCTGTTGATCCACCTCGTTCCCAAATGCCAACTTTTGAAGACTGATTTTTCTTTTTTGCCACAAATTCGAGAGTTTCCTCTCCGTATAATTTATAAACCATTACCTCTCGAATGACGGTGAAATTGAATTGCTGTCGATACTGTGTTTAATTCGGGGTTCCACTGTACTCAGCAAATTTAAGCTCTGCTTTAACATAAAAGATTATCGGTTATCTGCATGTCTTCTATGGCATCGGTGATCAAATCGGAATCACCAAAAATTTCTCCTTTTTCAATCGTCCCGCTTAGCTAATCTGATCAGCGGAATCATCGGACCAAGTTAGTTAAGTCACTCATGTTTTCTGCTTATTGCCGTCACCTCTGTCTTACCGTAGGCTCATTATGATTTTTCAGTGAGGGCATTAAGTTGACACTTTAATGATCCTGCAATAAAGCTGGATTGGAGCAGGCAATAAGGCGCTATACGGATGAAAGTTTTGTGCTTATGCATCTTGAATAAAACGGTTATTTTTTAAAAATAATCCAAGGATGCTTTATTCTGATTAAGACGAAACCTCCTTAGATTATCACATGATGCGTTCATACAGGGAGATTGATTTAGGAATGACCACGGTGAATACTAATCGTTGACCTATCGAGCTCGTTTGAGAATCTTCGCTGTTCAGATCTGGGTATGCGCTCGAAGTTTTTGAAAATTTGACAACCACAACTTGATAAATTTGCTTCACACTCATAGGTTAACCTTGATTACACTGCGTTCATTCATAGGTACGACGTTTTCCATTTTGTTTGGTATATCTACTTCCCTACTTTCTGATGAACTAACGCTCGCTCAAAAGCAGGATAAAATTCAAAATGGAGTGCTTAGCTTTACAATCTAGTCAATTGTGACCCAACCTTTTGCCGCGTTTTAAGGCTGAAGAAGAGAGGCTTCTGCAATATGCTTCGGAATCCGAGGGCAGCAACCACACTTTCGTATTCGGGCATTACACAACTTCCACCATTGGCCCGGGGACTATTGACTTGCGAGGCCTACTAGGGTAAGTTAGGTCTGTTGCGACGATTGTGTTATCCTACTGAGTTAACTGTGTGCCTTTTACATCCCTCCACACCGTTTTCGGATGTTTCTTTAGCTGATTCCTATCACGCGTTAATGGTCCCATTGAAACTGGAACTCCTTGAGTTGTACTTTATGGCATAAGTTACGGTCAACATATCACTGCTGATTTTGGCAGATTTTTACCATGGTTCTTATCCCCAATTATCAAAGTCGGCTGAGCGATATGTTCTCCAAGTATTTTATGACCACGAGTCAAATGAATATTGGCCGTGTAACAGCTTTGATCGTTTCCTCATTTAGTCTGATTCTAAGATAAGACCGGCAAAACGCTATGAAAAGATATCCTTCTGTGGTTTACACATCATAAAAGCAATTGCTAGTTGCGCTGACTGCTTTGTAGATGAAGCCGCATTCAACTTTTTCTCCTCGGAGGTCATAGTATTAATGTTGAGTGAGACTTATATAACAAACTGAGGAAGGCCGAACCTAAAAAAAACACTGTTTTTGTCATCCGTTTGACATACATTTTCAGTAATTTCTCGAGACAAGAGAAAAATGTTACCTGGGAAAAACATGAACGTTTTAATAAATGGTATTTCATTACTGAGTTCCTGTTGGTAGTGTGATAAGGTTTGAGAATTTTTATTGGACGTTTCCTCCTGTAAGTTAAGCCAGATTAAATTTGAAAGCCAAAGAGCACTGTGTAGCTGTTTCATCCCTATTGAGAAATATCAGCAGTGCGCTTTTCAAGAAGCTCTGCGAAAACCCGAAGTAGTGACCTTTAGGCTAGTGGTTTGAACATAACCGTACGGCCACTAGTAACCGATCAGTAGTGTGATTAGCTCACCATCAGAAACACTCAAACTTAGACTCAGGCAGCGCGAACTTTTCATTAAAAATTCTCAAATCTTCTCAAATTACCAACATTCTGTGAGTAGCCCAAAAGGAGAATAATATTCCCCTGAAGCCTAAGTCCTCTGTCTGAGAAGTCGCCACTGGAGGAGCCATTCAAAACGTAACCACCTGTCGCTGCTTCCGTGACCGAAGGATGAGTGGCGCTATATCCTATCTAAGTGTGAGCCACTCACACTGCTGATAAACCGCTCGTTGCAGAAATCCTCAACTCACTACCTGGAAGTCCCATGGTTCTAAACTCCCTTGAGTTTCATGGGATTGCACTGCTGTGGATTCCCAGTAAGGATAAGAGAGATTTACAGTGCTTCTTCGCTTGGTAGAACGATGTTTTCATTGGTAACTTAAATGGTTTGTTAAATTTGTCGTCAGAATATGTTTTTCACGCATTCCAACTGTTGTGGACCTTAGTCCCTTAATGCCTTCTTATAACCGTGATCCCCGGTCTGGATAGCCGCTTGATCGCCTGGTGCGCTTGGCCAAACCAGAAAAAGTAAATGAACATGCGAGCCAGCTGCCCTATTGATCACTGTCGCGTACAAGCAGGTCAAATTAGTGATACTAAGAATACAGCTCATCTGTCAAGGGCGAGTGGAGAACAACCAATGGCATCTGTCTCAACGAAAAACGTTGATCCCATTGGCAGTCATGAAGTTCCGTTACGTTCGGAGCTGGTTTTCCTAATACCAAATGAGTTATTCACGCTCAGGTCATCTGTTGGTATCAGTTATTCGGATCCTAGTAAATTTGAAACAAGGACGAAATGAATCTTTCATAAAACCCTTCTGCCTTTGAGTTTTCCACTGTGTGATGCAGACTAAAACAGGGGACTGAAGGTTTTTTTAGTAGAAATACGTGGCTATTCATTCAATGTGGCCAGTACGTAAACTGTATCATACCTCTTAGGTGACCAGTCGTCAGACTCGAGTGTATTTGTTATATATGTAGCTTCAGTAATCTAGTGCTAGCTACAAACACCTCCATTCTCATTGTCCCCCTGTTTTCACATAGGACCTTTTGCTTTGCTTACTTTTGCGGCCATATGCATACGGCTGATGGGCTAATACCTGAGATGCATGTGCTACAACCTGAAGGCTATCTGGAGCTTGAATTGGGCGACTGGAAGTATGAGCGTTAGTAAGCCTCTGCACTTGTTTACTCTTTATTGATTCATTATTCATGTTCATTCGGTTTTGTTGTGAATATATGTACGTAACAGTTGTCCATCCACTTACATCCTTATATTTCTTTCAGGCGTCTGATGGGTTTAACAGGGTTGGTACATCAAAGTTGACTTTCAGATATTGGTACCTGTGGTAAGGAAACTTTTCTAACCAAGCTGCCCAGGTCAACAACTAGGGCAACAGCAAACTCACGTTGCAAAATGAAGTCACAGAAGCATAGCTCTACGCTCCACTACGCTCATTAAACAACGCACTGAAGATGTCACCTCGGTTGGTAATGAAACGTTTGCAATCGAACTGCCCTGCTCAGCGAACGAACCATTGACCAACCGCTGTACATGGATTCTATCTTGGCCCATATGATGGAGGACCACGTTAGCACATCCAGTCTTCCAAAATTAACCAAAATTTTAGGTGAACGGAAAAATGAGACGATTAATTTGGACAAGTCACGAAATCAAGCCACGATTTAAGCTTAAATCAACGACGAGGCATTCGATTACTGAGCCATTTTATCTATACTAATGAGAGAAAAACTATTGAATCACGCAGTGCGCACTGCACATTCGGCGATGTTTCGATGGTCAGAAGTTGGGACCGGTGTGTTTACGAACTAATTTATTTCGACGCAAACTGCGTCCACTCTCGAACCCCATGACAAGGTTCGAACAATGTATGTCTTTGTAATGTACTACTCATAAGGCTGCTGAAAATCCTTCGACAGCCCACGACCGGTTCCGCTCTTTCTGGGGCTCATCAGGTAGGCGCAATCCCCGGGTTTCCGTCAACCTTATGTTTTACTTGAAGCCAAATTGCACGAAATTAACGAATGTACACTCATTTGCAAACTACTTTGGTTTTTCGGGAGACTCACCTGGAACCCAGCTGAATCTCTCGGTTTTGCTGTTTCCACGCAACTGAATGTGCTGCACCAGGCCGCCTCATGTTTCAG